CAGATGAGTGAGATGGGGTGATTAAAGTGAAGTTGGGTCTTCTGGGGGAGCAGCTAGCTCAGCATTGCTCTCTGACAAGAGGCAGGCTCACAGCACATCTGAGTCAGAAAGCCCTTTAGGGTATCAAATTCATCTCTCTATTTCATAGATGGAGAAACTGAGGCTGGGAGATGGGCAGACTATGTGACAGCCAAAGTCACATAGCAGAACACGGGGGACTTCTAGGGGGCTCACTGCTCAATGTCCGTTGCAACTCCATCACACCAACTTGTATCCTTTCTTTCCTTGTCTGCCTAACAGTCTAGACCAGAGTGCCTTGGGGTAAAGAACCATGTGGGACTCATTTCTGTGTTCCTAGGATCTAGCACAGTGCTTGGTTTGTGAAAAGACATTGAGCTATGCACTTACACTTCATGCATTTTCTTATCTGCTAAATGAGTGGGAATTGGGCACCATATTGTCACCCTGGCTGCTGGGGACATAAAGGGGAAGAAGAGGGGACCTGGAGGACTCACAGGTGCTGAGGCTGCCGCTCATGCCACTCCTCAAGCCCCAAGCCATTTTCCCTAGGTGTCCCTACCCTCCACTCTCTGCTTGGCTCTTCCTAGTGACAGCTTGGCAGTACTGACAGGCCCCATGGGCCAGGGGGTGGATGCAGGAAAGGGATAGATGGGGAAAGTGTCCAAAAGTATCCTCATCCAGGAGGCAGCTCAGCCATAGACCTAGGGAAAGCTGGGACAAGTTCTCTGGGCAGCCCCCCTCTCATTGTGTTCCTCTGTCCTGTGATATGGGGGGAAAGGAACACTCAGACACTGCCAAGGGTCAGGTTTCTCAGTGCTCTCACTGCCTCTCGCCCAACTCCCCACTTTAGTCTCATTCCTTCTGAGTTGCATCATCCATCCCACACCAGACTTAGTTCCCTGGGGGAGGGGCTGTTACTGAATTACTTCTTCACCACCAGCACCTGGTACACAGTAAGCCCTCAGAAAATTATCACTGCATGGATGAATAAAGGGCACAGATTTTCTGAAGAATCATAAAACTATAACTCTTTGGCTCAACAATCCTACTTTTAGG